TGCGACCGCCTGCCGAAATCTTCGGTGCACATCCTTACCCTCTCCGCGAGGTGCATCCACTGATCATGGATAAATGCTGGAACCTGGAAGCCGCGCACACCGAACTCGGTTTGACTCTGTCGTGAAATCCTCACCCCATCCGCGATGACCTCGTCAGTGCAAGCAGCCACTTACTTAGGAAATGCGACAAAACATCGATGACAACCATCGCATACATAATGAATATGCTTCCCACGGATTGGCAGGTCGCGGTCCAGTGCTAGAATCTATCTCCATGGGTCTACGCCTTCACACCCGCCGTTTGGTCTAAACTTCAGCCCGTGCCCGATGCCGCAACAAGGATTGTCACAGTGAGAAATAATGCTCGTGGCCCATCTTCGAACTACTAACTACCATGGGGCTGGCCCCTGTCGTGACGACGTGAACGTCAGCGTAGTTCGTTCAAACCTGAGCGACCCCCGCTGTCCAGAAGCGGCGATCCTCAAAGAGGTTGGCCTGGCTCAGGCCGCCGGTGACGATCAGCCTCTAGCGCCCGCGTCGGCGGCGCCGCCGCGACCTGCCGTGGCCGACAGCATCGGCCCATTAAGCTGGGAAGCAGCCGTGGTGCACGTCCACAGGGAGGCCCGTCTCCTGCTCTCGACAAGGGTTGCGGGCAGCGCGATCGGCCAGCTCGGGCGCACGTCCGTGAGCCGCTCAAGCGGTTCCAGGGGCTTGTCCTCGGAGACGGGCCCATGCGATCAGCATCTCAAGGACCCCTAATCCTTCGGGAGGGGACCTAAGTTAGGAGGGCCAAAGACATTGGGGAGAGGGGGTTATCTCTGCCGATGTATCGAACCAAACCGCCTAGATCTGGTAGACCTAACCTGATGCAAAGACGGGGACGTCAGCGAGGCTACGTCCTCATCGTGTTGTTAGGGTTAGGGATTCTCGTAATCCTCGAAGATACAGTGGAGGGTGCACGCAAATCTTTCGATTTTTCCCAACCATCCTGTGGTGTTGGGTCCTCGTTTTGAAGAGACGGTGCCCCGCGTTCCCTCCTCCTCCTCCTCCTCCTCCCGCTGCCCCCTCCCTCCTGCCATCATCATCATCACCATCATCACCATCATCATCATCATCATCATCATCATCATCATCATCATCATCACCATCACCATCATCATCATCATCATCATCATCATCATCATCATCATCATCATCATCATCATCATCATCATCATCATCATCATCGTCATTATCATCATCATTCCTCTCCTCTCCTCTCCTCTCCTCTTCTCTCCTCTCCTCTCCTCTCCTCCTCTCCTCTCCTCCTCTCGCCTTCACCCACCCAGTACACCGTTTCGTGGCCCCATAGGGAGCTCCACCGAAGGCCCCAGTGCCCGCGCCCGCATGCGTCACCCACACCCATTTCGGCACACCCCTCACACGTTTCGTGGCTCCATAGGGAGCTCCACCGAAGGCCCCAGTGCCCGCGCCCGCATGCGTCACCCACACCCATTTCGGCACACCCCTCACACGTTTCGTGGCTCCATAGGGAGCTCCACCGAAGGCCCCAGTGCCCGCGCCCGCATGCGTCACCCACACCCATTTCGGCACACCCCTCACACGTTTCGTGGCTCCATAGGGAGCTCCACCGAAGGCCCCAGTGCCCGCGCCCGCATGCGTCACCCACACCCATTTCGGCACACCCCTCACACGTTTCGTGGCTCCATAGGGAGCTCCACCGAAGGCCCCAGTGCCCGCGGCCGCATGCGTCACCCACACCCATTTCGGCACACCCCTCACACGTTTCGTGGCTCCATAGGGAGCTCCACCGAAGGCCCCAGTGCCCGCGGCCGCATGCGTCCCCCACACCCATTTCGGCACACCCCTCACACGTTTCGTGGCTCCATAGGGAGCTCCACCGAAGGCCCCAGTGCCCGCGGCCGCATGCGTCCCCCACACCCATTTCGGCACACCCCTCACACGTTTCGTGGCTCCATAGGGAGCTCCACCGAAGGCCCCAGTGCCCGCGCCCGCATGCGTCACCCACACACATTTCGGCACACCCCTCACACGTTTCGTGGCTCCATAGGGAGCTCCACCGAAGGCCCCAGTGCCCGCGCCCGCATGCGTCACCCACACCCATTTCGGCACACCCCTCACACGTTTCGTGGCTCCATAGGGAGCTCCACCGAAGGCCCCAGTGCCCGCGCCCGCATGCGTCACCCACACCCATTTCGGCACACCCCTCACACGTTTCGTGGCTCCATAGGGAGCTCCACCGAAGGCCCCAGTGCCCGCGGCCGCATGCGTCACCCACACCCATTTCGGCACACCCCTCACACGTTTCGTGGCTCCATAGGGAGCTCCACCGAAGGCCCCAGTGCCCGCGGCCGCATGCGTCACCCACACCCATTTCGGCACACCCCTCACACGTTTCGTGGCTCCATAGGGAACTCCACCGAAGGCCCCAGTGCTGCCGCCCGCATGCGTCACCCACATCCAATTCGGCACACCCCTCACACGTTTCGTGGCCCCATAGGAGCTCCGCCGAAGGCCCCAGTGCTGCCGCCCGCATGCGTCACCCACACCAATTCGGCACACCCCTCACACGTTTCGTGGCCCCATAGTAGAAGCTCCGCCGAAGGCCCCATGCTGCCGCCCGCATGCGCGGCACACCCCTCACACCCAGCTCGAACACGCCCGCATGCGGCACACCCCTCACACGTTTCGTGGCCCCATAGGGAGCCCCACCGAAGGCCCCAGTGCTGCCGCCCGCATGCGTCCCGCACACCCAATTCGGCACACCCCTCACACGTTTCGTGGCCCCATCGGGAACCCCACAGAAGGCCCCAGTGCTGCCGCCCGCATGCGTCCCGCACGCCAAATTCGGCACACCCCTTACGCGTTTTGTGGCCCCATAGGAAGCTCCACCGAAGGCCCCAGTGCTGCCGCCCGCATGCGTCACGCACACCCAATTCGGCACACCCCTCACACATTTCGTGGCCCCATAGGGAGCTCCACCGAAGGCCTCAGTGGCGGCGCTCACATGCGCATGCGCCCCGCGCACCCATTTCGGCACATCCCTGACAGGCTTCGTGGCCCCATCATGCACCGGAGGCCCCAGTGGCGGCCCTCACATGCGTCACCCACACCCACCCAATTCTGCACACCCCTCACACGTTTCGTGGCCCCATAGGGAGCTCCACCGAAGGCCCCAGCGGCCGCGCCCGCATGCGTCCCCGCCACCCATCCCGGCACGCCCCTCACAACAACAGGTTTCGTGGCCCCATAGGGAGCTCCACCGAAGGCCCCAGTGCTGCCGCCCGCATGCGTCACCACCCGCACCCAATTCGGCACACCCCTCACACGTTTCGTGGCCCCATAGAGAGCTGCACCGAAGGCCCCAGCGGCGGCGCTCACATGCGTCCCCGCCGCACATCCCAGTACACCCCTCACGCGCTTCGTGGCCCCATAGGGAGCTCCACCGAAGGCCCCAGTAGCGGCGCTTACATGCGTCTCCGCCACCCATCCCGCCCCCCCCCCCCGCATCAGCATCATGTTTCGGGGACCCATAGGGAGCTCCACTGGAGGCCCCAGTGGCGGCCCGCACATGCGTTTCCGCCACCCATGTCGGCACGCCCCGCGAGTGTTTCATGTCCCCATAGGGAGCTTCGCCGAATGCCCCAGTGGCACCCATCTCGGCACACCCCTCACACGTTCCGTAATCCTATGGGGAGTTCCATTGAAGATGAAACCCGCAGCTGCGGTACTGACAACTGCATATGGTTGGGTTCTTCGCCAGGCTAATGTTGTTTCCTGCGGCCGATTTCGATGAGTGACTGCCCCCAGAGGCTGTTGGAACTTGAGGCAGTGCTGGCCCGAAAGGGGGGCGGAGAGCTCGCCCCCCTCAGAGGAGAGCGTGCGACAGCCGCGCCACACTCCTGCAGCAGCCTCCCCGTTCCCCCCCCCCTCGCTGGACCTGGGAGCCCCCAAACCAGGTGGTGAGATACAGTCGAGGTACTACCAGAAAGAACGCCAAATAAGGAACAAAGGGGCGTTGCCGGCCACGGTGGGCCTAGGCCACAAGCAAATTCTGCGACGTAAATCTAAGAACCGACCCATCCTCCTCCTCCTTCCTCCTCCTCCTCCTCCTCCTCCCTCCTCCTCCTCCTCCTCCTCCTTCCCTCCCTCCCTCCCTCCCTCCCTCCCTCCTCCTTCCCTCCCTCCCTCCCTCCCCCGAGCCCCTTCCGAACCCAAAGCGGTCCTCATTTCAGCATCTTGGCTGTATCAGGTGGTGACCTGGAATCCCACCGTTCTGGAACACGGGGTCGCCGCCGGGTTTCGTGACTCCTGGGGACCCGCCAGCGTTCTGGACTTCCTCGACAGACCATACGAAAGCCAAACCGGGTGGTGGCACCAAATCGCCCCAGACTCACCGCCAGGTGTTGTCACCACTACTCTTGGGGGCCACCAACGGACGAGCTGGCCAGAAAGCGCCTCTGGCAGGCGAGCACGGCCCAGCGAGCACGATCTGAGCACTTACACGCGAAGGGATGCTACGCGGTGCCCCAGCCCCACACACTGATGCACTTGCCATTCCAAGACTAAGCACGGAAGCTGCGAATAACGAGCACCGCACCCTCCCGAACGCGCCTCCAGTGAGAAGGAGGGGGTTGGTGGCATTGGGTTGGCGCACGGTGACGGAAACTACATCTGAGAACCTGCACGCCACACCCAAAATCCAACCCACCTCCAGGACGCCCCGAACCTACGCGGTGGCACAGTGTACCGACGGCAGAGCTGCCAAACCGGACCAGTGCTGCGCGGTGCAGTGGCTTCCTCCGGCATACGGTGCGAACATAAGGAAGATCGAACCTCAAGCACTACCCGAGCCTCGGACCCCACCTGCTGCACGTTTCGAGCCAGGACGGCCTGCGCGGGCCCCGAGGCCCGAAAGTATGCTAAAACGCTTGGCCCGAAAGAATGGCAACGCCAAGGTCTCGGGGCAAGCGGGGCGCCTGCGGGTGCTTGACGTCCAGGTTCTCGCACAGGCTGTCGCACATCGAGATGAGGCCGTCGGTGCCCATCTGCACGGTGCATGCGGGGCCATGGGGAATTGTCTCGCCAAAGTCTCTGTCTTCCGTTCCGCAGCCAATTTTGGGTTTCATCCTGAGTCCGCCAAAAACGATACAGCCATCGTGCTACCCTGAGGAACGAAAATCAGGAACAAAGAAAACTGTTATGTCCACGGCGGGCCTAGGCCACAACCAGGTTCCACGACAGAAACCGAAGGAACGGCCCGAAAACCCAAGCCCCTCCTGAGCCCCCAAAACTGGGGAAGCCAAAAGGTACCGATACCGCTACTCCCCGGACCTCTCCTGCAGTGGCGACGAGGGCCTGCCAGGAGGCCCAAAACGGGGAAAACGGGCGAGGGTGTAGAGGTATGGGTACCTTTTCCTTCTCTGGAAAACGATCCTTCTTTCAGCGCCTCGACCGTAGCGCCACAGACCTGCACCTCCGCGGACTCGAGACCCCCCGTGCTCGACCGCACGGACTTCTCTCGAGCGCCTCTGGTGGCCCAGCGTGCGCCCCTGGCGCCCCCCAGCGCTGGCGGCTACTCCTGGCGCCCCGGGTATCGGCCAGGGCACCTGCAAAAAGCCCCGCTTCCGGCGCCGCGCGCTATAGGAACAGGAGCATCATCATCAGCAGCAGCAGCATCATCATCATCATCATCATCATCATCAGCAGCAGCATCATCCTCATCCTCATCCTCATCCTCATCCTCATCCTCCTCATCCTCCTCATCATCATCATCATCATCATCATCATCATCATCATCATTACCATCTTCAGCATACCATCATCATCATCATCATCATCATCATCATCATCATCATCAACATCACCATCATCATCATCATCAGCAGCAGCATCATCATCATCATCATCGTCATCATCATCATCATCAGCAGCAGCAGCACCATCATCATCATCATCATCATACCATCATTATCATCGTCATCATCTTCATCATCATCAGCATCAGCATCATCATCCTCATCCTCATCATCATCACCATCTTCATGATACCATCGTCATCATCGTCGTCGTCGTCATCATCATCATCATCATCGTCGTCGTCGTCATCAGCATCAGCATCAGCATCAGCATCAGCATCACCATCCTCATCCTCAGCATCATCACCATCACCATCATCAGCATCAGCATCATCAGCAGCATCATCGTCATCGTCATCATCGTCACATAACGTCCGGGCTCACCTGCACGGTGCGGGCGGCGCTCTGTGCTCCCCGCGGCGCCGCCCTTTGCTGCCCGCGCCGCCGCCGCGGAGCGTAAGGCCGCCCGGCCACCACGGGCAACCCACGACGGTGGCCCAGGGGGACTTACGGTCGGGGGCTTGACCTAAGGAACCCAACATAATGAACGAGGCCCCTTTTCTCCATGAGTTAAACTTCGACTTCCGATCGAAAGCACAAGGAACACCGGAGGCAAGCCGCGAAACACTTCAGGAACGCGGAGCCCCTCCCCAACGAAAAGGGTTCCTTCTTCAGGGCCCCGACTGTAATTAAGGCAAGTAGGCACCAGGCTCCAGGGCTCCCGCTTGTGGTGCGTTCCATTGTTCCCCTCCGCGGCCCATCTTTTTCCACGCGTGCCCCTGGAAAATCGACGTCGTCGTGCGTCTGTACCTGCTGGCCTCCCCCGAGCTCAGAGAATCGGAGCGAAGGGGCTTTACTGGCCGCGGCGAGCCTCGGCTCCACGACGCGGGAGCTCAGGAGCGGCCCGGGAACCCGCGAGCCCCCTCTGAGCCCCAAGCGGTCCTGATCTCGGCGTCGTGGCTGCAGGGTTCGGTCGGGCCCGTCCCCCCTACAGGGGGATGTTGGACGAAAAATTATAAATACGCAAGCATACAAAGGGATGTTGGACGAAAAAATTGAAAAATACGCAAACCATGCTCAAAAGATGCCCCAAAATACTCAAACATCAGTCCCCTGGCTGTGTTTTGACTATGTTTGAGGATTCCCCCTGCAGAGGGACAGGCCCGACTGCACTGTAGGGCACCGCCCTGCAGAGGCCGCAGCTGCGCTGCTTGGCCACGGGCCTTGGCGCCACCACTCTCTTTCGATTTCGACTTGACCGATTTGGGCCCAGGGCAGCCATGTTACACCCCATCCTCCTCCTCCTCCCTCCTCCTTCTCCTCCCTCCTTCCCTCCCTCCCTCCCTCCCTCCCTCCCTCCTCCTCCTCCTCCTCCTCCTCCTCGTCCTCCTCCTCCTCCTCCTCCTCCTCCTCCTCCTCCTCCCTCCCCCTCCTCCTCTTCCTCCTCCTCCTCCTCGTCTGACAGCCATGTTACACCCCATTCCAATGTACAGCCATTCCCAAGTGCCTGTTCGTCGCTACCTTTTACGTAGTACACTCTGCATACGTCATCACTGCCGGTGCCGCCTTCAATTTGGAAGGAAAGCTGGGACGAAAACAACTATGTCGCATGCGCCTACGTCGAAACGCACTCGTACGGCAAGCACCCCCGTCAAGGACGTCCTGCAACACCCGTGAGAACAGTTGAACAAATGGAAAAATTGGCGGCGGGCCCGGGAGAAGCCAGATGGGGCGGGCTTGCGCAGAAGGCTCGGAAGGCCTCCAGCCTTCTGAGAAGTTCTCGAAGCCTTATCCGAAAACAGGGGCGGCTTCTGGGGGGGTCTGAGAAGCCCCGCCGCCTGCTGAGAAGGCATGCTCCCTCTCACTTCCTTTGCGCGCCGCCGAAAGATGGCATGTGCAGGGCACGGTTCGAACCTCCCTGGGGACACCACAAGGTACTGATTCTGCTGTACCTCGTAAAGTTTGCCGATGACCCGCTCGGACTGCCAACACAAAATGCGAGTACCATAGGGAGGGGGCTGCAACCTCAGACGTCCTCGCCATTCACTCACAGACGAGGCCCCCGCTTGAGACATC